AAGAAAAAGAGCGCAGACAAGGCCCAGCACTTGCTCACCACGTGTGCGTGGGTTTTTTTACACATCTGGTGTGAGCGTGAAGATAAAGTGCGGAGTAGGATTTAGGGTTGTAGAGTAAAAAATTATTAGTGCCCTAAACTTCCCCAACCGGGTTGATTATTCATTTTCAACATCATCGCCCGCCTTCGTCGATCCAAGCGACGAATTTTCTTCACTTAAAGAAACGTAAAGTGGAATTAGTGTAACGATTGGTCACTTATAGGTCGATGAGCTGGTCTTTACCGTCGCTTCGTGGGTGGAGGTCCATCACTCTTCCTAAGGGTTACTTGGCTGGTGGTAATCTTATGTCAATGACCAAGACAAGATCACCCCTTTCAATTGGTTTAGCGTTTTTGTTCCATTTGTACAACCGTTTGATGTCTCTGAAGGTATTCCTTGGACCACCAAGACCAGAAGCTCTGCACTAGCTAGAAGAGGTGCTGCCAGTGAGAGAGTCGAGATGTTCTTATCCATTCCAAGTTAGGTTCTGGAACAAGACTAAATGAATGCCCGACTAAAAAATGCCCTAGAGTGAGAACATCCAAATCATCAGGCTCATTCGTAATTGCACATAGTGGCCGGGAATTCAAGATAGCTTCGATTTGCGTTGAGATTAATGAAAGTTTATCGTATAAAATGAAATCGCGAATGAAATGTAATGGTTGTAGATGAGCGTCTTGAATGACTAGTGTTTATTCGCGAAGTTCAGGTTCGAATTTTTCAAACGTTCACCTACGCGCAAGAGTTCAAGAGGACAGATGAACAGGTTAAGACAAACAAGAATATTTCTTTCGCGTGTAATTGATTGAAAAATTTGCTGGCGGTATTTATTGCACTTGGAGCCAACGGAGATTTCAGAGGTTGTGCTGATCATTTCAGAAGCAGATATACCATGCGTTGACACATTGCAGTAATTCTTGTCAATTTTTCCATGATCACTAGCGAGTTATTAGTTCTCAATGATGAGATGCTGCTACATGATAAACCACTTTTCTTCTAAATCTTGTGTCACAGGTGGCGAAATATGACTGCAAGTCAGCCAATTTTCTGAAGAGTCTCGAAGCCAATGAAAGTTAACCCCCTCAATGTTATTCGGTTACTTTTAACAACATTTCAAACTATAAAAATTATGAAGACACCTGTAAAAAATGCGAAAATATATTTGAAGAATCACTTCGAACAAATATTGTTGAATGCAATAAATGGGTATTCTGATATCGAAATGATGGAGGATAATTCATAGCATTTTGAAGAACCATATAAGGATTGGGAACCAGAAATTATAGAAGACGAAGAATATGCATCTGCAATCCATAAACCAAAAGGGTCCGATAGAGGATGTACTACTAATAACAAGAGCTTGAGTCATGATTATAAATTGCGAGCAGTTGAGTATTAGCAAATTGGTAAAAGGAAGAATTTAAGTATCGATAGTGTCCAGCAAAAATTTAGAAAAGTACAGTCTACTTGACAATTAAAACGCTGAGCACATCAATTGAAATAAGGTGGAACATACAAAAAAAAATAGCTCAAGTATCCCAATATACGTTGGGAAATCTTAAAACTGCTATCGATGCTGAAATGATAGTTTATGATTCCGATTTGAAGAAATGGGCATTATTAGCTAAAGAAAATTTACAATTTGATGATCTTCGATTTTAAGCATCTCCAACGTGGATACTATCATTCAAAAGAGCTCATCATATTGTTTCTCGTAAAATTAACGAATTTATATTATCAAAAATGATTGAAGATCGTGAAATATTAAAACAAACATCAGAAGTGTTCGTTAACGATGTAAAATCTAAAATTTAATCATATGGTTTAGACAACATATGTAATTTTGATCAAAGTGACTTTCAGGTAGGAGTATATTCAGAGAGGACTTTAGCTCCAGAAAAAGAAAAAAAAGAGTGCACAGTTCGATCGGTTTCTTTAACAACTCACAATTATACTATATAACCAACGATATCAGCTGAAGAAGAACTATTCACTCCCCTTTTTCTTGCCTTAAAAGGACTAACTGGAGAACCTGATCCACGGATAAAAGCATCGCTTTTTAGACCAGATAATGTACACGTAGAAATATCGAAATCTAGAAAACTTACTCCGGGTTAAAAAATTCAATCTAAATATTATATTATATGATATATTCTGGAAGTTTATATACTTATTTTTTTAGAACACTTCAAAACCTGTTTGAAGGATGTATTTTTTCCGAATGTTGGAAAAAAAAAGTTACTGTTGATTGGTACGTGGAATGGACATTGTTCTAAAGCTGTCACGTCTACCGAATCACCGAAAAAAGAAATTAAGATAATGATTATTCCTAAAGGGATTACTGAAGAAATTCAACCATCAGATGTTTTTGAGTTTAAAATATAGAAAAACTTTGTAAGACATTCTTCAGACAATGACCTAACACGAGGGGATGATCTCAATTTACACTTGAGAAATAATATTTTTAAATTACAATCAATGACTTATAATCAACTCTCATCTCCGCGATACCAGAATCTTTTTTATCATCCATGGTTTAAAAGTAGTTATACATTTATTAAACTAGATGAATTTGCAAATCGAGTCGATTTTGTATTTGGAGATAACTGTAAATCTCATTGTGAAATTCCAGGGTGTAAAAATATTGCAATTATCCGTTTTGATAAGATTATCATATATGTAATACGTACAATAAATAAATAATTTATCTTCTTCATTTTGATACAAATCTTGGAAAAAAAGGAATATTTTTTTCCACATCGATTTCGATGTCATTTCTAGAATAGCAAAGATACGTATCCCGTAATTTTTTATGCTCTTCCAATAAAAATTGGTTCCATGAAAAAATAATTTTTAGTTTTTGAGTTATATTTTTTTCCGTTATGGACTTTTTCGAAAAAAAAAAAAAAAAATAGTTTTTTGGCATCGATTTTGACGTTATTCTAAAAATTACAAAGACACGTATCTCATAATTTTTTATGCTTTTCCGATTGAAATTGGTCTCCTTGAAAAGTAATTAATAGTCTTTAGGTGATAGATTTTGTGTTATTTTCAATAAAAAAAAAATGTGTACCCGCAAGTTTTATAAATATGTAAATAAAGGTATTTTTCATGATTTTTTATGTTGTTTTTAACGCATAAAGTCGTTCTGAAAAATTTCGATTAGAAATATGTGAAAATAAAAAATTACCTCTATAGACTGACAGCTTTAGGGGTGATTTTCATGCCTTCAAAACTTTTTTCCGCAAAAAAAAAAAAAATACGTGGTATTTTCGACGTAGATTATTATATAGAAGCCTCTGCTAAATCGACGGTGGTCACCTCGCGAGGTTTCCTCGTGAATTCAGAAGTCATGAAAATGATTGGAAACATTTTGTTCGTGTATTTTCTATGTGAATGCATACGATATTTTCCAAATTTGATTTCAATGTGTTCTGACTTAGAGGGCCCCAAGTCAGCAAGTCTCAGAATAGTTGAAAATTCGTAATGCCGGACTTGTCCACCGGCGTGTCAGTCAACTCACTGGACCAATCATCGGGAAGTATCTCCCTCATGGCCCAGAAGGCAACTCTACGGCCCTAGTGACGCCAAGAAGCACGCGGTCGAGCACTTGTGGAGTCAGTTAGCTCCAGGCAAATCACGCGGTCATCTCTGTATAATTGTTCGCAGTCAAATCGCGGTTTTGTGCAGTCAGCTCACCTTTGGTAGTGCCAAAGACGGTCAAGTAGACTCAGACAACTCTCACGAACATACGTGAATCATCGAAATTACTCTCATCAGTGCCAGTGGTCCAGTATATTCAGTTGTAGTGTCTTTGGGCGCGAAGCTGAACTGGCGTCGACGCCATAGTGCCTCACGGACATTCACATATACATCGCACCCCCGAACAACTCTGGTGTATCCTGTGAATGTTGCTATTCACTGTTTTGAGACTATTTTTTTTTTGTGAAAAAATAACCATCAGACAATTCATACGTGTACAAACAATTAATGTACAGTCAACTCAAATATATGTAGTGATTATTAAGTTCTATTGGTTATGTTAAGTGTTATTGTTGAATAAAACCAAAAAAAACCCAAGCAATTCGGTGTTAATAACCTATTTTTTGGAACCTTCTAGCATCCAACCTTTTGTTCTTATTCTGCTCTGAATTATTACAGTCCACTAAGGTAGTTTTCTCGTCCGGCCGACTCGAAGTCAGAACCATGCGAAAACCAGATTTATTCTCAATGATTTGTGTTATTGAATTCTTGAGAACAAAAGAAAAAAGATCATAACGTTAAAGGGTTATGTTTGAAATTCAAGAAACTGTCTTAGAACTAGAATTAAGAAAGTTTTATAAGGACATATTTTTAATGAAAAATTATGGTTTTGTTTTTGAAAACAAAAATAGAGAAAAATAGATTATTCGGAAGGTGAAAGTGAATAGTATTTAATCTTTGGAGCATTAAATTCTCTACAAAAAGACTAAACACAAATTTTATCACAAGATATCCTCTGATGACCGCTTCAAGCAATCTAATTAGAAAAAATGATATTATTCATGTAATTTTTGTAATGTAGACTTTTAAATACGATTGAATCTGTTACTCTTTAAATTTAAAGTGAATACATAATAATGCTCTCATTCAGACAGAATAATCTTTATTGTCCATGTTTATTTACCAATAATCTACTTTATAACTTGTAAAATAATGGGTTTACTGTTCGCCAATAAATATAACGAAATCAATCAGAAAAAGTCTAAGAAGTTCAATAATGATAGTGCTGGACAGAAGGCTCTTTCTACTCAATGTGAATGGAAGACTGAGGCAAATAAAAGTGTATGTACTAAAATTGAAGTTTGGTCGATTTTGTAGGAGACATATTTTAAATTTTATAAACTGTTATGACATACAACACCTTTATCTATGAATCCCTTTAGTTGGTCATGTGCGTGGAAGTAAAAATCAAAAATCCGTTTTTTTGTTCATGTTTTTCTTATAGCATCACATTTACAAGAACATTTATATGAAAAATTTGCTTTGCTTAATATATGCAGCCAAATTCAGTGACAGATAACCAACTCACACGATCAGCCTTCAAATCATCTCTTTTACATTAACGAATTTTTAATTCATTATTGCTTACAGAAAAGTAGCCTATTACGACTTTTTCTTATCAAATTTTTTTTAAATAGAATGATTCAATTATACACAGCTTTCGGGAAGTCTATTTTCCATCAATCGTCTTTTAATTGCTTCGCCATCAAGACTTTCTCCGGCAACGCATACTCCTTGATTTATTCCAATAATGTCACCGGTCATTGACGAATTTGATAATATCGATACTGTACCATCAGAATATAATCGTCTATTGCTTTGATTTTCGACCATCTTACAGTGAAATTCATTTGTTGTCGTTGTTGAATTCGATATTAACCAATTTCCAGATGTATACTCTCCACAATAGTGAGCTGCATCGATTTCTAATATGCTGTCATCTGAAAAATAGAAAATACCTCACTATTAACTCTAAACAGATTATTACTTACGGCTAAGGTGTCATTATGTGTTTTTTGGTAACGAACCAGTAAATGATCGAAAAAATTTCATATTAAACACCTTAGATAATGACGATATTATTCACTTAACAATCGTTAATATACATAACAAGGCTATTAATTACTGATAATCGTATCATATGAATGATAATTTACCAGTACTTTTTTTCACGAACTAATTTGCAAACTTTGAATTTACAAAATTATTTCGTAATTCCTTTTGAGAAAGATATTATTCTTAGTCTCCAACAGGTACTTTGCGTAAATATGTGTACATATATATCTTTATCTGTACTAGCAGATTCCCGCGACTTCGTTCACGAATAAGCCAATTTCAGAAATCTGTTGCTGTGTGACACTGAGAAAAAAAATTACTTCATACAAAAAATATTTCATTCGATCATTAACATCGAAATTTCAAAAAGTCGCAATAAAATATTTCTACAAAATTATGAATATTTGATTGAAAACATTTTATTTACTCAAATCAATAGAATGTCATTTGTTTTTATTCTTGTCGTAACCTTGAAAATCTGTTTTAAAACTTGACGCAACATTGAAACAAATGACAAAATGTGTTTTCGATAACACTACTATTAGTCTGAATAAAATATTATTTTGAGAATACTCTAAGTTTCTTTTATTGATTGAATAAAAAATCTTTTCATTTAACGAAATTTTTTTCTCAGTTAGGACTGATAAAAAAAATATATGCATAATTTGTTCGCAAACGCATAAGCCCTTTCGGAGATTACTTCGAACAGACAGACAGACACCAGGAATTGATATAGTAGTAGTATAGATCTTCTATCCATATCACTATTTGAATTCCTGATGTTTGTCTGTCTGCTTGCGGTAACTTTCCAAACGGCTAATCCGATTGCGACTAAATTGTGAAAACATATAGAGGGCATTGCGGGAAAGGTAAGCCTACTCCATGTTTAAAAGATGTTTCATTAAATATTCGTACCTCATTTGATAAGTTGCAGTTATTTTTACACTGCAATTTTACCTTAACAATTACAAAATGCTACTCTTGAGAAATTAAATTGTATCAGACCATTGAAATCTTCAAAAAAAAATATTACAAAATACCCTGACTAGAATTGTTAGGAGGTCGATAAGGCGAAGCCTCTTCTATCAAATTATTCACTTCTAAAAACAATAATTGGATTAAGGCGTAACAATGTCTCTTTCAAAAAATTTATAGATCATAACTACTATAATAATAATCAAATGGTTCATGATTCAAAATTTATCAGACTTCTGTTCCTTAAACTGAAAATGTTTTCGATTATCTATGAATCAGAAATTGGCGACGAACTATTGAACAGTCGATACTTGAGTTGAAAACCGTAATTTTTTAAATTAGAAGACACTTCATTCGAAACTCAAGTTCACTTAGTTATATTTCCAAAGTCATTAAAGAAATTGAAATTGAAGAAGAAAAATTAGTAAGATTACCAATAAGCTCCAACACGAAGATGCATTGTTAGAATTTTCATAAGCCATCTCCACCAATGATGAAGTATAAATTGTAACAAAGGCTTGAGTATCTGCATTTCAGATAATTAATTTAAAATAAGAATACATAGCTTTCTATAAAATCTAGAGACACACCTCTAACTTCATAAGCATCAAGTTTAGATGAAAGTATTTTATGGTTGACTATATCAAAAACTTTGGAAAGATCTAAAAAAGTTACCATTGCTAGATTGTTTACATCAATACTGTTGTAAATAAAATTAGTAACAAAAGCTAGTGCATCATGAGTGTATTAGTGAATCTAACCTCCCACTTTGAACCGAGGTTATTTTTATGTAAAATTCCACGAGGATTCTAAAAAAACCATTCACAGTAAAAAAAATTGTTTGAAAAACAATTAAAAAAATATTATAATGTTTTCGGATGCATTATTAGAAAGAACATCGTTCATTATTAAAAAATGAATTGTTCAATAACCATGATTGTTATTAAAACTATTGTCTTTATAAACAATTAGAAATTAACCTACTGCAAAATATTTCCCAATAAATTCAATATTCTGTTGATAATTGTTTATAAAAAACCTACAAATTGAATGAAAAAAATTTGTAAAGAATTAAGAATGACGCATTTGTTTATAAAATTTGTCTATAATAAATGCTACAAAAAAATTTTTTTCAAATTGTTTCATACTCTTCACATGAAAATATGAAACTTTGCTGTACACAATTTTCATATTAAAAAATAACTTCAGCCTCAAAATGAGGGTGAGCGAATCCCAGAACAACATTTAGATTTTTTTAAGTATTAAATAAAACTTTTTTTGAAAAACTAAGATACCCATTTTATAGAGCGGAAAATTTTTTTTTTTTTAAATTTTTATTGAAAAATGTTCAGAAAACGATATTGAACATTCCAGAATTTGTTCAGATTTTTTCATGTGTTGGAAATATTTTTTTTTAAATGTTAATTAAAAAGTTGCTCGACGGCATATTCTGCCGGAGCGCCCGAAATGCTCGATTTTGAGCGCGCCTTTGCGGCGCTGTATATTTTTATCTGTCCATGATAGACAGGTGCTTTTGCGAACTTTTCATAGAGAATCGAATTTGCTATAAAAAAGATATTGATTTTTTTTTATATCTCTTACTGTTCTCGCTACGTAAGCGGTGAAAGGTAAAAAAACGAAATTTGCCAAACTTTGATACTCGATAAACAACAGTAATTATTGTTTCCAAGTAATGAAAATTGGGACAAATACTCTCCTTATCGTCTTCTACAAGAATATATAACAAAAAATTTTTAACTTCCCAGTAAGAAGTTATAGTAATGGGTCCGATTTTGCGAATCCCGAATTTTGACATATCTCCACGTTTTAAGGTCCCCAGAGTCGAATACGAACGTTTTTCAGTAGACGTCTGTGTGTGTATGTACGCATGTGCGTTCGGAATTATTTTTAGCCTCGATTATCTTGAGAACAAAAAATGATATCGACGTGGAACCAACTGCATTTGACACGTAATTGCGCAACTTAGAACTGATCAGGTTTTCAACAGAATCAGTCTAGCCATTATTTTTGCAGAACCAAAAAACTAGCAAAAATGGAAAATGACCTGAATTTCTCAATCTACAAATTATACCATTTTTTAGACAAAATTTCGAAATCTTTAAAAAAATATAATTATTAAATGATTCGAATACTTGTATGAAAATACGATGACAATATTTCATCGAAAAAAAAAATCGGCAATGAAAGAACTTTAAACTCGTCTCAGGATTGAGAAAACAGCATTAAAGACGCTATAATAGTCAATAATAATTGTTAATGATATGGAATTGTGTCCATAAAATTGTTACTAACAAATGATTGTTGATCATGGTAATATTTAAATAATAAGTTTTAAATTGTTATAAACAATAAAAATAGGGATCCATGCTATATATATGAGTCCTTTTAACGCATGATTTTTTCTTCTACTAAAAAAATATCACCAACCGTATAACATAAATGAAAACATACTTTTTTCGTTCATAACAATGAAATTTGTTATAAATGATGAAAAAAAGGATCTATGAGGTATATTTGAATTCACCTAACGCACAATTTTTTTTTTTACTGAAATGAAGTAACTAACCATATCAAATGAATAAAAACACACTCATTTTGTTTATAACAATTCCATTTGTTACAACGAATGTAAACGGGTTCTACTCGGGGTATTTTCTCATTTTTTCCACTGGGAAGTTGGTCGTGCTGACCTTTCGGGTCGCACCCAGACCACTACAGGGCACTGATATTTTATTTCTATCCTATAATTAATGCATGATAGCATAGGGCTTAAATTTACGGCTACTAGACTACTAGTCATGCACAACCGCGTTTGCATCTTTATGCGTGTTACGCATACCACGTGTATTACCCAGTCCTCTCCTAGATGTGAGCGTGAAAGAGATGTACTATTTCAGCAAAACAGATATATACACGTGCCTATGTCAAATAATAAGAAAAGCCTTCGTGTCTAGAGTAGCGGTAGATACTCACCGTCACTTCACTTGCACCCTTATCCATCTATTGACCCTTTTCAAACTAGCGCGCTCTAGCGGCTCATATTTACAGTGCCGAGTAACACGCTACTCTATACTGAAAAGGTTGCGCGTGACATCACGACGCAATGTTTAATTGCGAATATCTTGATAACTGGGTATAACGGTGGACCCTTCCTTGTGAATATACCTGGTGACTCTGCCCTTATTATAGCGGGACAGAGGCTAAGAGCAACCATCACCACTACCTCTTTATATGTCTACAATCGAGGCTCTGCCTTGATGTGGAGTCCTTCACAAGTGTGTGTGTGTGTGTGTGTGTGTGTGTGTGTGTGAGAAAATGTATCTTGAAAGAGAGAATGTGATATAAAAGATAGGCAAATGCAAAAATATACATAAAAAGCTATCAAGTATCATGGCAGAAACAAAATCAGCAATGAAAGAACTTTAAACTCGTCTCAGGATTGAGAAAACAGCATTAAAGACGCTATAATAGTCAATAATAATTGTTAATGATATGGAATTGTGTCCATAAAATTGTTACTAACAAATGATTGTTGATCATGGTAATATTTAAATAATAAGTTTTAAATTGTTATAAACAATAAAAATAGGGATCCATGCTATATATATGAGTCCTTTTAACATAACATAAATGAAAACATACTTTTTTCGTTCATACCAATGAAATTTGTTATAAATAATGAAAAGAAGGATCTATGAGGTATATTTGAATTGACCTAACGCACAATTTTTTTTTTTACTGAAATGAAGTAACTAACCATATCAAATGAATAAAAACACACTCATTTCGTTTATAACAATTCCATTTGTTATAAAGAATGGAACACAAGATCTATGCGATATATTTGAATTCTTTCGACGCGTAATTTTTTCTTTTACTAAAAAACAGC